GATGAAAGAAAGAGGTAATGAGAGAGGAAAAGGAGGATATGAGGGTGGATGGGGGGATAGATGAGGGGGGGGTAGGTGAGCGGAGAAAGAGAGTGAGAGGAGGGAAAGAGAAAGAGCAGGAGAGCAGAGGCAAGAGGGGAGAAAGGAAGAGATAGAGAAAGAGTGTGTGTGTGGGCCCTGACAGTCACTTCTGACACTCTCTGCTTTTCACAGACAGCTTTGCCCATCCATGGACATTTGCAGACAGGAGAAATGAGTGTGTTTTTTACAAACTGTCCATACCATTACGACATTTGATAACCCTGCAAGCTATGATGGATTTTATACACTTTCACTTTGGGTATGAGGGAGGTAATAGTTTTTCATTTCAGACAAGACATGCATTTAGAGTGCATACAACTAAATCCTAAATCCAGGGATGGAATAAGGGGTGGGCAGGAGAGGCAGCTGCCCCTGGAGCAGGGGTGGTGGAGGTGGGGGGTACATGCTCACCTTACACTGTCATTGGCTGGCAACCAACAGGCCACCACTTCATGTCTGCTTTGACATTTACTGCTGTCACACCACGCTGCACGTGCCTGCTCTCCACCCCAGTCCCCAGCAGCTGGCATGAAATGCACACCATACACGTACAACTACCTTCTAGCTGCTAGAAAGCAAGTTACTGCCCATGTGCAATGCCTGCCAACCATGGATAAGGGGGCAGAGAATGGATGCAGGATCCATTCTACATGATTATCTTTTTTTTGCCATTAAAAGTGTTCTGCTGTTAGCTTAATTTTTACTACTATTTCATTATATTATTTACTTTCCTATATATATATATATATATATATATTAGTCATTTCCTTTACATACTCCCGTGTTTATGAAAGAGTCATTGTTTCATTGTAACTTATTATTGGCTCATTGTCACATTGTGACTTATTATACATGTTTTCAAGTTTACAATCACTTTAAATCATTTTCTATCTTCTGAGCTTGCATTATGGACTAGAGACACTTGACTATCCACCTATATTTCTTTTTATATGTGTATTTTACTTGTTTTAGACTCTGCTACAAATCTGCCTTCTGAGGAGCTAAGAAGTTGTCACAACAGGCATCATTGTGGTTACATAGTTACATAATTAGTCTGGCTGAAAAAAAGACAAACGTCCATCCAGTTCAACCATAAAAAAAAAGTTATAATCCTATACCCACAGTTGATCCAGAGGAAGGCAAAATGCCAACAAAGCATGATCCAATTTGCTCCTGCAGGGTAAAAAATTCCTTCCTGATCCCCCGAGAGGCAATTGGATATTCCTTGGATCAACTTTACCTATATAAGTCAGTAACCAGTAATATTTTCTGTATCCAAAAAAGAATCCAGGCCTTTTTCAAAGCAATCCACTAGCTGTCTAGAACCAACTCTTGAGGGAGTCTATTCCACATTTTCACAGCTCTTACTGTGAAGAAACCTTTCCGTATTTGGAGATTACATTTATTTTCCTCCAGGCTTAAAGAGTGCCCCCTTGTCCTCTGTGATAAGCTCAAGGTGAGTAACTACATCAAGTTCACTATATGAACCACTGAAGTATTTATACATGTTGCTCATATCCCCCCTTAATCTCCTCTTCTCAAGAGAGAATTCATTCAGTTCCTCTAATATTTCCTCATAGCTGAGCTCGTCCATGCCTCTTATCAGTTTGGTTGCCCTTCTCTGTACTTTCGCCAGTTCCCCAAAGTTCTTTTTGTGAATTAGTGCCCAAAATTGAACTGCATATTCCAGATGAGGTGTTACTAATGATTTGTACAGGGGTAATATGATATCTCTCTCTGGAGTCTATACCTCTTTTAATACAAGAGAGGATTTTGCTCGCTGTAGAAACTGCAGCTTGGCATTGCATGCCATTATTAAGCTTTTGGTCTTCCAGAACTCCCAGATCCCTCTCCACTATTGATTCCCCCAGTTGTACCCCCCCCCCAGTATGTATGATGCATGCATATTCTTAGCCCCCAAGTGCATAACCTTACATTTATCAACATTAAACCTCATTAGTTGCCCAATTAAACAGTGCATTGAGGTTGGCTTGTAAATTGAAGACATCCTGTAAGGACGTTATTCCACTGCACAGCTTGGTGTCATCTGCAAAGACTGAAATGGGATTTTTAATCCCAGACCCTATATCGTTTATAACTATTTTAAAAAGTAAGGGTCCCAACACTGAACCTTGGGGTACACCACTGACAACCCTAGACCATTCAGAGTATGAATCATTAACCACTGCTCTCTGAATACAATCTTTTAGCCAGTTTTCTATTCATTTACATACAGATTTTTCCAAGCCTGTAGACTTTACCTTACACATTAGCTGTGTGTCGGGAACTGTGTCAAACGCTTCTGCAAAATCCAAGTATACCACGTCCACTGCCACCCCTCTGTCCAAGGTTTTGCTCACCTCCTCATAAAAAGAAATCAGATTTGTTTTGGCTACCTATTAACAAACACATATTTCTTCCTCACCACAAGATTGGTTGGGACTTTTCTTCCTACACGATCAACAACTTTACATTATCTTACCATGGGTGCTTTTGCGACACCATACACTTTCAGGGTTTTTCTGACCATGCTGGGATCATCTCCTAGACCTCACTGACTGTCTTCTCCATAAAATATAAACAGTTGGTGTCACTCTGTTGTCACTAATACTTTATCTACAGTTGATCATAGGGTATACTTTATTTTTATACCTCAATATGTGAAGCAATACCTTAGTTTTTTTCATACATCCTTAATTTTTTGTCTTTAATATTGTGCAAGGCTTTAACAAACACATACATTTTGCATTAGATAGCCCTTACTGATGTCAGTTTCTGGTACACAGTCTGAGTCTCATAAATTTTATCAGCAGCCATTTCTTTTTTTCAAAAATCTAACTAACTTGTTAGATGTTGATTTTGTTATCTCTCCAGCCTGCGGCAGTCCTGTTTAAACCTGCATTTTACTAAAATCTGACAACAGTCTTTATAACTGGATTTCATATCCCACAAATAAATTGGTTTATCAAAGGTTTTATCATTGCCTTCTGCTTACTTCAGTTGTAATTCTTCTTTCTTCAGTATTGAACTCTACAATTGCTAAGTGGTAATAGCAAATCACTGTTGTGCTTCATTTTCATCTCATGTATAAAACTTTTTCTTATAATCAACAACAAAAGGTCACCTGTCTTAAACATGTTTTAGTTTTTTTTCTTTTAGATAAAGCTGGGAAGATTTAGAATTCGTCTCAGATTAGAACTACTGTTGAGGGCCCTCACTTTCTGTCCCACGTACATTTTATCAGGTAGCAACACAAACATGTAGGTGGGCATGAGGCATGGTGGTGGCACTGAAACAGGAAGGAAAGACACATGGAGGTCAGAGATTTCTAGGAAGTGTATTTTCAAAAATGTTCCAATCACACTGTAACAGAGTCTATGCAGCAGTATCCAACTGGCAGAGACACTCAGGGATACGTATGCAACACTTACAGGGAGCAACACCTGGCAAGGGGGTGACTAGCAGACAGTGATGAACAAGGTGCTAGAAGTGGAAAGGCTCATGTAGGGAGGAGGCCAAAGAGACACATGAATTCCCCCTGCCCTCCACTCTCCCTGCATGGCAGTTGTTGACAACACCAACTGTTCTAAGGAGGTCAACCTACACCTACCTATAAACAGAACATTTTCGTTGGTACAGTAGGGAGTGCTAGAACTGCTGTTAGATTCTTAATTCTGTCTGGATCTCTGTTGCAGATTCTCTAGAATCTCTAGAGAGGAACAATAGTGCTTTTCTCATCCTGTTCATGCTGTCCCTGTGTCCAATAATCATTCAGCAATACTGTACAGAATTTTCATATAAAAAACAAAGAACATTTTTTTTTTCTTTTAAACCTTCAGGTAAAAAACTAATACAGTTTTAGTTCAATTATGGCTTGTATGTGAGGGTGCCAATGTGCATAGTATAGAAAGAGTATGCCAGAACAGAATAGTTTTGATACCCTGTAGCCTCCCTGATGGTATTCCCGAGTGTAGCTCGGGGTAAAGTTTCAGTACCAAAAGCGGTAACCCCGAGCTACACTCGGGCTTACCATGAGGCGCTGCTCCGGCATCTCTTCTTCACTTACCTTGTCCTGCGCTCCCGCGATGTCCCTCCTGCGGTGTCCCCGGCAATGTAATCCGGCGGATGCCAGCATCTGTCATCTGAGTTCTGTCCCCTGCGAGCGTCGGGACGTATGGGGGACGGAACTGTGGGAAATTTGAAAATGGCAAAAAGTGACATTCACTCAATACACTAAAATCACATAGTAAAACATTACTGTATCAAACCATTTCACATACATTTTGTCCCTAGTGCTTTGTCCTGTGCCCTGCCTGCATTTGTACCGTTCTTTTTGCCTGGAAACTGAGAAACGTCCATGGTGTCCAAAAAGTGTCCCTTTAGGTCAAAACCGGTTTTAGACCAGCTAGAGAACAGCGATAGTAAATTAGAACTACTTGCAGAATTGAGTGATAATGATTTGTGGGGAAATTCGTCATCAGACAGTGAAAACGATTTTGCGACTTTGCTCAGTGATGTGCAAACTTGGCGCTATATTTCAAATTTCAGTGTTTTTGGTTTGATTATATTATTAAATTAAATGTATTATTATATTATTATTTTTTATGATTATTTATTAAATTATAATTTATGATTTCGTGTTTCAAATTTTATCATACCCGGGATGTTTAATAGACTCTTGTTCGGACAGATTTCAGTGAGTTATTCCTAAAAATTACAGGCCTACAATAAAAAAAATACATATTTCCATGCAAAATTGTACCGCTTTGAGCACAGAAATATGGACATAATCAGACCGCTAGGGAGGTTAATGATAGGAGGGTAATAGTCTGATTCAAGTTAACCGCTAAGACAAGCTCAATTGTTTTTTCCATAGACACTACATTTTTATTTGTGTTATTTTTCTTTACAACCAACAGCCACTGAACTCCACACAGGCATATGGGCCAAACTTGCGATACAATGTCAAATGGCGACAGCGTCAATCAGGAGAAGCCTGGAATAATATCACGGTTTGGAATAACAAGCATGTTGTTTGGAACACCCCAGTGTACACACCTTATGAGATAAGGGTACAGGCTGAAAATGAGTATGGCAGAGCATCAGAGCCGAACACTGTCACTGGATACTCAGGGGAAGACTGTAAGTACTAGAAGACACAGTAGCATAACTTTCACTCTCTTTTAAGCAGTGCCAATGATGCTATGAAGATTTGTATTCATCACACCTGGACTAGCACTGAAGGCTGCTTTAGGAACACTGGTCAAAGCTTGTCAAATGATTGAAAAAAGCTTGCTAAAACTTGTGTTCTTTAGATTAGTGTTTACAAGCAGTTAAACAGTGTGTGCCTGTTTAGGGCATTATTATTATTGATCATTGTATTTTGGTGCAGCGCAGGCAATTTGGTGCTGATAATTTGGTCTGTTGTAAATCAGTGACAAAGTTTATCTCTTTTTGGTTAGTTTTAAGGGGTTCCCAATAGTAACAGTGGTGGACAATGCCTATGCAATGGTTGTTGGCATGCCTGCTTGTAGTCTACATCAAGGGATGTGTGTGAAACAGTGTCAGTGCAGCATCAAAACTGTGAGACAGATATCACCTTGTAACAGTAAGTGTCTGAAACAGCACCTTTGAGACAAGGTTATAGTTTAATGAATGCTGAAGGCACAAAATATTATAACAACTTTTGAAATTATATGAAAAGATTTGGTTATATTGGTTAGGTTGAATTTAAACTTAAGGGGGATTTAGGGGATACAATGAGGTTAGGAATCAGTATGTTTATCAGTACATTACCTTTTTGGTGTGATAAATCAATTTCCAGTCTCCAGTGGCAATTAGATTAGTGTACAATATATGTGGCAAAGGTTATTTGTGCCAAAAACGTGTAATCTGAATTTTCTGCTCCAAAACGGCCAAATCAATTTTGAGAAGTCAAAAACTATGAGAAAACAATTCTATGAAGAAAGACACTTAAAGCAGAACTTCACTGCATCTGAGCACTATAAACCAAAAACGCTATTTAATTAATGTTTAATATTCAAAGCAAACTCCCCATCCATCCATGTGTCCATGCTTTATTTTGCTGAGAAATCACTTTGAAAAACACCCCCCATAGCATTTCTGGTCTTAGCCATCTTGAGTAAGGGATATGATTCAAGCAGCATATACTTCCTGTAATCCATCTGCCCTTAGCTCAGGCATGCAGGCAGGAGGGTGTGCTTAGTTGGGAAATCTGCTCCTCCTCTCCTGAAGACTCATGAGATGCATGCTATCATAGGCCAGGAAACCAGGAAGCAACTGAAGAAATGTTAAGAAAAGTTTAAAACAAGCAAATATTATATCCTGATACCTATCTATTAATACTAGCAGCATAAGGTTTAAAAATATTCAGTGTTAATTGAGAGAGTAAAGTTCCACTTTAACACATTAGAGCTAAAGAGTAATTCAGGGCTTCAATAAAGATGATTATTAAATGCTTGGTAAATATGTGCTGAATCTAAGATGTGGTGTTGTAGTTTGGTTTTAGAGCCCATTTTTGCTTTTGTGTTACACTCATTGGTGCAATGTGGTGGCATTCATTCTAAATAGCAACCAAACACACCTTGCCGACAGACTAATGTGTTGCAGTGTAGTGCACACCTTTTTGGGTGCATTAGGCAGGCCATTCAAATAAATTCACATGTGCAATGCACATTATCACAGCTTAACAAGCTTTAGTGCACGTGAGCTAACACAATGCAATAGTGTGAATGGGCCCTAAATGCAGTAACTGAATTTGAAATATATATATTTCCTGCCACCAAAACATATTAGAATTGCATCTCTACATGCATTTTTTTCTAATAACACTCCTACTAAGCTATTAAAAAGTAATGAAAAGGGGCATGGGTGCCTTAAAAATAATTAAAACATAAATAGCCAAGATCCCAATTCAAATTACAGTGAATCAAGCTGGAGAGAAGAAAGTTTGAGAGGACTCTAAGTGATCCTGTTACATCAGGTTCTGTGTGTAAGGATTTAATTGTTAACATATGTACTGTATAGATGCTACTCCATATCTTAACATAGAGTAGAATTTTCTAGTAAAATGGTAGCTGCATTTAAAAAACATATTTACAATAAAAACTAAACATTTTTATTTGATACCAGTCATGTAAATAAGGAGGAGCAAGCAGGAACAGTTTAGCAAGTCTAAAGAATAAGAGAAAAACTCTCTGTAGGACTGGAGCTATTTTATAGTTAGTTTTGTTTAAAGCTTTTCTTTGCCCTCAGATCCTAAGACAGCACCCTCTGACATTAAATTAAGGGTCATGAACAGCACTGCCATTTCCCTTCAATGGAGTCGTGTGACCCCTGCTTCTATCCAAGGAAGCCTCATGGAATACAGAGTGAGCAGAACTTACACCTACTACTTATAACACTCCACTGATATCTAAATAACATGAATATGAAAAAAACAACCTTATTAATTTAAAATATATGTTCACAAGTGTGACCCAATTACCAGCTAACCAATGTTAAATTGATAAATAATCTATAAGGCAGTATTTGCCACTGATTCATGTCTAACCATTGTGCAGATGTCACTGTTGTTTATTCAAAATTCAGAATGGTGCTAACCAGTGAACCTTTGACTATCTTAACTCCCCGAGAACCCAATCAACTTCCCACTAATATCAAAATGTTAGCTGTTAAATGATTGAGTTGTGTATCTTGAAGGCCTATTACTGGAGGGAGAGTAGTTTGCTGAGGGGACACTGGGTCTCTCGAAAGAAGTTACAGCAGAGTTTTATCGGAGATCGCGTGCGGGGAATTGTGTCATTCCTGATACCTTACAGCAACTACAAATTATACATGGTAGCAGTGAATGGGCGTGGGGATGGCCCGAAGAGTGATATTAAGGAGTTTACCACACCAGAGGGCGGTAAGTTTCTTCATACTGGAGGACGTAAAGTTTTTTCCATTTGATATGTAGAATTACATTTTTTACCAGTTGAGATTACATATGTGAACCTTCATTTATTGTCCAATGTTGATAAATCACAGAGTTGTAAAAACCTGCCAAGCAGAATGTTCAAAGTAAGAGTTTATTTTCTTTTCACAGATACATTCAAAGAGTTAATTATGTTTTAGTTTTATTTAAAAAAAAATATTGCATTCCAAAACTTAAGCACTACACATATCAAGTGGCCAATCCTCTTACAACTTTTTCACATGCAATCTAACAAAACTTAATTTTTTTGCAGCGCCCAGTCAACCTAAGAACTTTAGATTCAGTGAGCCAAATCGTGAAAGTATAATTTTGGAATGGAGCTCTCCAGTATATTTGGGAATGTGCTGTGCTTAGATGCATGAATTTACACCATTTTGTACTTGACCTGTCAACTAAGACGTACCATGCACTGTGCTCCTTGCACAGATCGAAAGGGCTGCAAGGGCTGGGACAGTGATAATAATGAGGGATTTTAACTACCCAGAAATTGACTGGAATAATGGTACTTCAGGAATAGTTAAAGGGCAAAAATGTATAAGCCTACTACAGGACACTTTTATGGTACAGTTCATAGAGGCCCCAACTAGGAATGATGCTCTGATGGACCTGGTAATCTCAAACCATGCAGAGCTTATTATGAATGTCCATATAAAAGAACATCTGGGTAGTAGTGACCATAACATGATTTCATTTATTGGTAGCTGTAAACATCAAGCACATACGGGAAAAATAAAACGCTCAAATTTAAGAGAGCTAATTTTCCAAGGCTGAGAGCTGCTCTCCAAGACTTAGATTGTAAGGGAATATTGGCATCGATGAACACAACACAGAAATGGGAGTTCTTCAAAAAGTCTGTATGTGAACACACTGCAAAATATATTCCCATGAGCAACAAGTTTAAAAGCCTAAAAATCAAACCTATGTGGCTTACTGCCAAAGTTAAAAAAGCTATGAATAATAAGAAAAGAGCTTTTATGAAATATAAAAATTAAGGAACACTATCATCATTTAAACATTACAAAGAATATAACAGAATATGCAAAAAGTAAATAAAGGGCGCAAAAATTGAAAACGAACGACAAATTCTTCAAATATATTAATAGTACAAAGGTCAGGTCCAAGCATATAGGCCTTTTATAAAATAATCTAGAGTGGGTGACTGGGGACAAAGAGAAGGCAAATGTATTAAATACCTTCTTCAGCTCTGTGTATACAAAGGAGCATGGGGGAGCTCTTGTCCATAATGGGCATGGTATTGACACAGCTCCAGATGATCCACATTGGCTCACAACTGATATGATCCAAAAATATTTAGACAGAATAAAGGTGAATAAAGCACCTGGACCAGATGGCATACACCCACGGGTCCTTAAAGAATTGAGCGTTGTCATTTTAAAGCCATTGTTTCTAATTTTTAGGGGCTCTTTAATGACCTGCATAGTACCACTTAATTGGCGTAAGGCCAATGTGGTGCCAATATTTAAAAAGCAGTCAAAATCTTTACCAAGTAAATATAGATCTGTTCATTTAACTTCTATAGTTGGGAAGATACTGGAGAGTTTAATAAAAGACCACATAGATGAGTTCTTGCTGGAAAAAAATATTTTAAGCACCAGACAGCATGGATTCATGAAAGACAGAAGTTGTCAAACAAATCTGATTTCTTTTTATGAGGAGGCGAGCAAAACCTTGAACAGAGGGGTGGCAGTGGACGTGGTATAATTGGATTTTGCAAAAGCTTTTAACAGAGTTCCCCACACAAAATATTACTGGTTACTGACATACAGTTGTGTTCAAAATAATAGCAGTCAGACATCACTAACCTGATCAATCACTGTTTTTGGTAGAAATGATATTTCTACATGGCAAATAATTTACTAGCAGGTGTAGTAGAGTAATAGAAATCCAACAGACCCAACAGTCATGACATGCATGCTGCTGATTCTGTGTAATTGAATCACTAATTGAAAGGGGCATGTTCAAAATAATAGCAGTGTGGAGTTTTATTAGTGAGGTCATTCATTCTTTGAAAAACAGGTGGCAATTATTGCCCTTATTTAAGGAAGGAAGGCAGCAAATGTTTACATGCTGGTTACAGTGCATTTCTCTCTGAAATTCTGAGGAAAATGGGTTGTTCCAGACATTGTTCAGAAGAACAGCGTACCTTGATTAAAAAGTTGATTGGAGAGGAGAGAAAAAAGACCGACAATTTTGAAAAAAATAAACCCTGTATTTTTTACTTTTTGCTATAAAACATATCCAATAAAAATTTTTTAGAAAAATTTAATTTCGTCATAAATTTAGGCCAAAATATATTCTGCTACACAACTTTGCTAAAAAAAAAATCCCAATAAGTGTAAATTAATTGGTTTGTGTGAAAGTTATGGCATCTACAAATGGTGGTATGTATACTGGAATTTTTTATTTTATTTTTATACTACTGATGGTGGCGATCAGCAACTTATAGCGGGACTGTGGGACTGGAGGCATTCTGACACTGGGGGGGGGGGGGAGCTGACTAACTATCACTGTCATCCCCAGTGACACTAATACAGTGATCAGTGCTAATAAAAAGCACTGACACCATACTAATGACACTGGGCAGGAAAGGGTTAACATCTGGGGCAATCAAAGGGTTAACTGTGTGCTGTGTGAGTTTAACTGTGCAAGCACACTACTTTGTATTGCTCTGCTATGCAAAGCAATACAAAGCAGCCTGCTGGAGCTGACAGGGGAGAGATCTGTATTGTTTACATACAGACCTCTCCCCCGTCAGTGATACTTGGCGAGCGCAGGCGGGGAATCACCTTCCGAGACCTGGTAATCGACAGCTGTAGCTGCGAATGGCAGCGCGCCCCCTACCTGGAAATCCGAAATCACGTATATATATATATATATATATATATATATATATATGTGTGATTTTGTGCAGCATTGCCACCCTGTAGCATTATTTCTGCTATAGGGAAGCGGTTAATTTAGACTAGTATAACAAATAAAAAAAAAAAATTAAGGTGTGGGCAACTACATGGCAAATGAGGTTTAATGCCGGAAAATGTAAAATAACGCACTTGGGGGCCAAAAATATGAATGCAAGTTACACGCTACGTGGAGAGCCAATGGAGGATTCCAGGGTGGAAAAAGATCTGGGAGGCTCAGCCATGGCATGCAATGCCATGCTGCAGCAACCAAAGCTAGCCGAATATTACATGCATTAAAAAAGGTATTTACTCTAGAGATTAGACTATAACTTTCCCACTTTACAAAACTCTGGTTTGGCCAAACATGGAGTATGCCGTCCAGTTCTCAGGAAGGATGTGCTGGAACTGGAGAGAGTCCAGAGAAGGGCGAAAGAGCTATGAAGGGGACTGGAGGACCTCAGTTACGAGGAATGACTACAAACACTAAATTTATTTTCCCTGGAGAAGAGACGCTGGAGAGGAGATATGATAGCAATATACAGTTGTGTTCAAAATAATAGTAGTCAGACATCACTAACCTGATCAATCTCTGTTTTTGGTAGAAATGATATTTCTACATGGCAAATAATTTACTAGCAGGTGTAGTAGAGTAATAGAAATCCAACAGACCCAACAGTCATGACATGCATGTTGCTGATTCTGTGTAATTGAATCACTAATTGAAAGGGGCATGTTCAAAATAATAGCAGTGTGGAGTTCTATTAGTGAGGTCATTCATTCTTTGAAAACAAGTGGCAATTATTGCCCTTATTTAAGGAAGGAAGGCAGCAAATGTTGTACATGCTGGTTACAGTGCATTTCTCTCTGAAATTCTGAGGAAAATGGGTCGTTCCAGACATTGTTCAGAAGAACAGCATACCTTGATTAAAAAGTTGATTGGAGAGGGGAAAACATATAAAGAAGTGCAGAAAATGATAGGCTGCTCAGCTGAAATGATTGCAAATGCTTTAAAATGGCAACCAAAGCCTGAAAGATGTGGAAGAAAGCGAAAAACTACCATTTACAAGAAGGTCTAAAGTTCCCTGTGAGTACTGTTACAATTAGAAGACGCCTATGTGAAGCCAAGCTATCTGCAAGAAGCCCCCGCAAAGTCCCACTGTTGAAAAAAAGACATGTGCTGAAGAGGTTACAATTTGCCAAAGAGCACATTGACTGGCCTAAGGAGAACATTTTGTGGACTGATGAAAGTAAGATTGTTCTTTTTGGGTCTAGTGGCCGGAGACAGTTTGTCAGACGACCCCCAAACACTGAATTCAAGCCACAGTACACTGTGAAGATAGTGAAGCATGGTTGCGCAAGCATCATGATATGGGGATGTTTCTCATACTACGGTGTTGGGCCTATTTATCGCATACCAGGGATCATGGATCAGTTTGAATATATCAGAATACTTGAAGAGGTCATGCTGCCTTATGCTGAAGAGGAAATGCCCTTGAAATGGGTGTTCCAACAAGACAACAAACCCAAACACACCAGTAAACGTGCAACATCTTGGTTCCAGACCAACAAAATTGACGTTATGGAGTGGCCAGCCCAATCCCCGGATCCTAATCCAATAGAAAACTTGTGAGGTGACATCAAAAATGCAGAGAAGAACTGTGGAATGTAGTCCAATCATCCTGGGCTGGAATACCTGTTCACAGGTGCCAGAAGTTGGTTGACTCCATGCAACACAGATGTACAGCAGTTCTCAGAAACAGTGCTTATACAATGAAATATTAATTAAGTGATTCAAAGGAAAGTAAAATCTTCAAACATTTTTCAGTTTATATAGTGAATGTTTGAGTTTGCAAAGAAGAATACAAACACTGCTATTTTTTTGAACAGTCTTATATTCACTTTTCTTCAATTTTTTTAGAGGAACAACACAAATTTGATATATTTTTCTTCATGTTTTGATTTGGAATATAATGTGTAGTGTTCCCAATACATTTGTGTGTATGGAAATAAAAGCTATTAGAAGGATTTTGAGCTTTATTCACTTTTTTCAACAC